AAATTTATTATTATTGTTTTGTCTTATAATTTTGAGATTTTTAAAATAAAAAAATTGTATTCACTTGCTTCAAAATGCGTGTGATCACGCGTTTATCCAAAACCATTTTAATGCTACATAAGCTCGATCAATGGTCAGAGGGGTTTAAAAAATAGAGTTTCATCATGTTTAAGGGTTCATTTGGCAAAGTAACGAGTATAAGGGTTCAACTGACAAACAAATACAAGTACGGGGGTCTCTCAGGTCATTCCGCCTTCTAAGTGTAACATTTAGCTTGTAATCTGGACATCCTTCCACAGTGAACTCATTCCACCATGAATGTACCAATTCCTTGAACCCCTCCACTTTTAACCACCAATTTTCAAACTTAAAGTTTGATCTTTTATGTTCCCAGTCTCGTCAGTGATCAGACATTGCTCAAGTCATTAGCTTTTGTGTAATGTTCTTAAAGCTCTCCTCCCACTCCATAGAGAACAAGAATTTATCGAGTCTGGCCGCACTAGGATGATTGACTCCCTTGAACCATGTGAATTTTCCTCCACTCATGTGAGGATCATGCAGTTCCATTTCTTCGATCCAACTTGTAAAATCAGTCATTACATTAGTGATTCTATTGCACCCTCTTCTTTACCCCATACTTCTGATTGTGTTGAAATCACCACATGCCACCCCATGTCCCCCACATAATTCTTTAACTGCAAATATCTCTTCCCAGCAAGCCAATTTCTCTTCTCTGGTATGTGGACCATGAAATGTTGACCCATCTCGACTTGAGCCCCCCCCTAGTTCCTACTGTCCCACATGATTAAGATTCCCCCCTTTGCTACCTTCTGCCTCCATATACCCACATTTCATCCATCTGCATGACCAAAGCTGTTTGGCTAAGTCTTCTACTCCCGTATGTACTTTTGTTTCTTGCAAGCAATATATGTTTGCCTTCCATTTCTGAAATAAACTTTTGATCAGTACTCTGCTACTCTGTCTATTGAGCCCCCTCACATTCCAAGTGATTAATTTGACTTTCATTTATAAGTCAAAGATAAATTTCTCCCACTGTTCCTGGCCCCTTCTACCACTTCATTCAAGTTTGATTTTAGATTTCTTAACTCATTCTTGCCAATTCCTCTACTTTTTGGAGTTGTAGTTGTCTTCTCTTAGCCTTTTTTTAAAAATCTAAAGCAGCTTTCCTTTCATCAATTCTCATAAGAAGAGCTAGTGTTTCTTTCTCGGAACCTACAAAAGCTACCCCGTAGGTGTTGCTCAGCTCTAAGATATGGGAGTTAACCCAATTTGAAGCTTCTGTTTCCACTACTTCTTGGGTGTTGGGTGATTGAATATTCACAGGCTCTGCGTTGATTATCAGTTGGATTTGTAAATCCCTTTCAGCTTCTTGCGATTCACAAGCCCTTGTATCATCAACTCTCTCTTCTATGGATAATTTATTTTCGACCTCTAGAGTTAGGTCGACTAATGCCTCTCTTATTAGATATCTAAATTATTTTTAGCTGAATCTCTGCACCCATTTCCATACATGTATCCATACCCCCGAATCTTTAGTTTGATCATGAAAGATCCGACCTCTAGATCCACCCTCTAACTGGACACCCACTCCCGATTCCGTGAAACTTTATTTTATCCGGATCTTACTACTATAATCTTATTGGAGAATTCTTTTAGAGAAACATGATATGCTAATATTATTTTTTTAGCAAGAAAAGTATTGAAAATACCCCTGAACTTGGCGCCAATTGTTAGTTTCGTCACTGAACTATTGACAGCCTTAAAAACACCCCCTCTACTTGACTAACTAAACTTAGATACACCCCGATCAGTGATCTCAAATTCTTGTAGGAGTATGGGCTAATAATAAAAAGTCGAGAGAAGTGTTAAAAACACCCCTAAATTTGATGAGAATTTAGGGGTGTATTTCACTGATGTTGCAAGATCGAGGGTGTTTTTAAGTTCAGTTAGTCAAGTAAAGGGGTGTTTTTAAGGCTATGAATAGTTTAAGGATGAAACTAATAATTTGCGCCTAGTTTAGGGATGTTTTCAATACTTCTCTCTACTTTAGCCTATACTTCTTAATATTTTTCTTCAGTTGTGTCTTATGCCAAGTGGATGAGATATTCAAATTTAGCAGCAAATGAAATAATTTTAAACATGCCCCTGAACAATTCAAATGGTTCAAATATTACCCCTAAGCAATTAAAAAGGTTCAAATACCCCGACTCGGTTTTTGCTGTTAGTGCGTTGGGCAATATTTGGACCTTGTTAATTGTTTAGGAGTTTGAACCATCAGAGTATGGTAGGGGTTTTAAACCAAATCCAATAGAGCAGGGGCAGTTTCTGTCCTTTTCCATTTACAACACCTTGTTTACACCAATAATGAAACAAAAGTAAACAGTTCATCTTGATTTTCTGAATAGAGTTTCCTTGATCTTCAAAACACCGATCATACCCTTCGGGGTGGCCTAATGGTTTGGGCTTGGGACTTCCATGTTAGAGGCAGTGTTTTGGGAAGCGAGAAGCGGAAAAAAGCGACGAGGGCTCGCTTCACAGAAGCGAGAAGCGAAGCGCGCGCTTTTTTTAAGTAAAGCGATATTTAGTATAAAAATAAAAAAATATTAAATAACTGAATAGAGGTAATATATTCTTAGATTAAAAGTAAATAGATAGTCAATAATACTCATAAGTCATAACATATAAAGCAAAAAATCAAAAACATAATTAAATCACAAAAGAATCAAACTCCTATTCTTCAACAAGATCCTCAAACTCTTCAAGTGCCATAACCAAGGGTTCTACTTGGTCATCATCTTCTTCATCATCAGAAGGCTCATCAACAAGGTTTCGACTTGAACTGGAACCTCTAGCTCCTCTTTCATTGCCCCTTAAAGTACTCCTCCTAAAACTATAAATATTCTCCTCAACACCACTTGCCATAGAAACATCACCATAAGTGAGACTTTCTCCTTCATACACTTCTTCATCTTGGTGATCTTGGGGTGCTCCGGTTAACCATTCATTTGCCTCATCAATACTATCCAACAAAATTGGATCAATGGTATTACGAGCATTGTAACGACGCGCCAATGTTCTATTATATTTGATGAACACTAGATCATTGAGGCGTGTCAACTCAAGCCTATTTCTCTTTTTACTATGAATCTGCACATAGTAGAAAGGAATTAATAGGAGGACTTAGGATGATTAAGATACCTATTAATTTAGTAATAATGTAATGTAGTTTCTCACATGTTCATACACGCTCCAATTTCTCTCACAACCGGATGCGCTACAAGTTAAACTTTGCACTCTAATAGCAAACTGTTGCAAGTTTGGGACATTATGACCATATTGCATCCACCATTCAACTGTAGAAGAGTTATTTTAAAAGATGTGTAATAACTTAAAAGTTGAAGCTTTAAACACAATTAAAAGATGAAATTCTCACCTGGTGACCTTAAGGTTCTAGCTCTAATGGCTGATTCAATTCCAAGTAGGCCATCCGCTTTCATGTACACACCAAGCTCCTCCCCTATTTTGTCTTGCAAATTTTTATCTGGGATCATCCTCTCAACACATTTATGATATCCCTGCCACACATCTTCAGTTAAAGTCTTCATGTCATTATTTTTATAATAGAGCCCTGGGTTCAAAATGTGTCCCGCTGCATGCAAAGGTTGATGAAGTTGATCTGTCCACCTTGCATCAATGATTTCAAAAACACTCTTATATTTCCTTGTATCATAATTGAATGCCTTTTCAATACTTTCTTTGGCCCTGTCCATGGCTTCATAAATGTAACCCATTGGTGGTTTTTTCTCCCCATCCACCATACGAAGTACATGAATTAAAGGACCACCAACTCTAAGTGCTTGAACAACGTCATTCCAAAAAAATGGACTAATGATGTGTCTCGCAACTTCTTTACCAAGAGTTTCCTTTGAATAGATACTCTCATTCCATTCAGTTGACATACACAAGGTTTTCAATTTTTTCTTTTGCATATAAAAACTATACAAAGTCAAAAAAGCTGTTGCGAATCTTGTCTTGGCGGGTTTTACCAAATTTCTTTGCTTTGTGTATCTCCTCATCATATTCAACAACAATGCCCTTTGATTGATATAAGCATGTACCTTAACAGCCTTACCAAAAACTGTTAAAAAAAATGG